AGCCCTCACCCCTCCTCCCTAGCTCCGCAGGGCAGGTCCTGATTGGCCCAAGCCTCCCGGGCGGTGCCCCGCTTCTGGCCAGGGATTGGTTGATCAGCACCGGCCAATGAGACGGAGGGGCGGCTGCTGCAGAAGCTCGCTCACGTGGATGGGCTGCTTCTCGGGTCCAGAGCCCGCTGCCACCCAGGATGCGGCAGCTGCCTTGGCACCAGCCTGAGGGTGAGGCCAGCATGCGGAGGAAGGCAACAAACAGAGCTGAATTCCACACATGGTGTCTGGGGTAAAACCAGACCATCCAGTTTCTTGTTTCTAATCCTAGCCCAGGCTAGTTGGGGGGGGGTGGCGGTGGCGGTGGCGGTGGCGGTGGTGTGTGCTTTCTGTTATTGGTGCTTGAAGCATCCTGATCATCATATATACATATACATACATATATATAATGTAATACATATACATATACATACATACATACATATATATATATATATAATGTATCTTTATTGACTTCAGAGAGAGGAAAGGAGAGGGAGAGAAACATCAATGATAAGTCATTGATCGGCTGCCTCCTGCACGCCTCTGACTGGGGTTGGAGCCCACAACCTGGGCAATCGAACCATGACCTCCTAGATCCTAGGCTGATGCTCAACCACTGAGCCACGCCCGGCCAGGCCTGATCATCATATTTTTATATAGTGACAAAGATTCTCTCATTGATTGAACTTGATTCAGGGTCCCCTGAACTTTTTTCTAACTAGGTTCTGACTTTTGGACTTCTGTGTTCATCTCTACATTGTCCAAATTTTAGCAAGAATTCTCCTAAGTCAGTTTAATTAGGACTCCCACCCTTGTGACCCTGGGCAAGTCACTTACCCTCTCTCAGACCTTCACCTGCTTTGTCTGTGAAATGGGGAAGGATTCTCCTTTCCACAATGGGTACAGTGAGGAGGATATAAGATATGAATCACATGAGGTACAGAGTGCAGTGCCTGGCACATGGACGGCCCTCAACAGACAAGATTCGAACTTGGGGCCGCTATTCTTATTGCAAATCATAATGACATGGTAGGTGGCCTTCTGTTGGTCACAGAAGCCTGAATGTTCCTCAAATGTTAGGTATTTCCACATAGGAGTTTCATCCATACTCAGTTTCCCTTTTCCTGCCATCTGCCAGGATTCTCCAGCAGCTCAGAAGGGAGTGGCCAATCTCATCTACAGTGTGATTTCTGGGGGTGGCGACCACAGACACCCTTCTCAGCATTCAGAAGTTTTTTTCTTCTTTTTGAAAAGGAGCAAAAATAAGCTGCATGTGTAGCAGACTTATTTTGGGATACCTGCCCAGTTTACAAGGCCAAACTCCCCCATTTTCTGAGCACTGAGCCCCCATAGGTAGGGCTGAGGTCCCAAGGCTCTGATTGTACAAAACATCTCTGCTCCCACCCCAGCCACAGTGGTGGGACCAAGGTTGACACCTGACCCAAGTGAGCCAATCAGATGCCTTCCCCATGGTTTCAGAAACAGGGTAAAGGGATTTTGGCTAAGTTGGGCTGTTCCTTTAAACAGCAGTATTACAGATGCAGAAGCTATGGGATGGTATCTTTCTCCATGTGGATGGAGAAGCATTGAGCAGCCATCTGTAGAAAGAGACAGAGAGAACTGTGCATCCATGTTCCTGGACAAGAGGGTTACAAGGGTTGAGGGATGGGATGCAGAGAGAGGCACTGAGCAACTGCTATCGTCCCAGCACTGACACTCAGATTCTTCCCCTCCCATTAAGAGGTGGAGTCAGTTTCCCCACCCCTTGAATCTGGGCTGGCCATGTGACTTGCTCTGGCCAATAGAATATGGGGGAAGTGAAAATGTGCTAATTCCTTACAGTGCCTCTAACAGGCACTGCCCCTTTTGCTCTCACTCAGGGAATCCTGCCTCTGTCAAGTGAACAAGCTAAGGTCTGCCTGCTGGGGAGTTAGATGATGTGGAGAGAGGCTGGTTTTCCCAGCTGACGCTATAGGAGTCCAGACAATGCCTAGACAATCTGCCAACTGCCCAAGTTGCATGAGTAAGCCCAGCGGAGACCAGAAAAATGGTGCAGCTGAGCCCAGCCCAAATTGATAACCCACAGAATTGGAAACTAGATAAATGGCTGTGGTATCAAGCCATTAAGTATGTGAAGGTGTAGCACGTCACACAGCAAGTGCTAACTGATACACCCTTGGATTCCTGAAAATCTTACTGGATCCTAATATTAAACCCTTCCTTTTGTTTTTTATTGAGCCACTTCAGACTTTCTTTTGCTTGCATTCCACGAGTTTTATGAAATATACACTGCTTATGGAGGTGGTTTCCGGGAGTTTGGTGAGGTGGGCAGATGGATGTCTTGTACAGTCTGTCCCTAGGGCTCTCAACAAAGGGGGAACATCCCACAAACAAATGATCGGGAACCCAGGAGGGAGGAGGTCTCATATGGAGCTCCCAGGAACTTCTTGTCCCTGAACCCAGGATTCTCTTCCCACCCTTCCCGGCATCACCTCTCGGGCTGACAGGCAGGTACTGACACTTCAGCAGCATGTTCGTATTCTTCGTCTGTCAGTCCTGCAATGAAACAAAGAGAAATTATAATCACAGTCATCATAATAATACATGTGGCTGACATTTATTGAAGGCTCAGCACGTGCCAGGCACTATTTACAGCGCTCTCCTCCCACTGTCCTATGTACTCGCACTCTTACCCTCTGAGTAAGTATTTCCGTTGTCCCCGTTTTACAGATGGGCCACAGAGCATTAAAGGACTCACCCAAAGTCCCACAAGCTAGTGTAAGGTAGAGCTGGGGTGAACCTAAGTAGCCTCATTTTGGGGTCCATAGCCTTAACTGCAAACAACAGGGATCTCTCCTGGCCCTCGGCGGGCATGGATGATGTGTGTAGGGCTCTCCACTAGCCCATGCCCCTCTTTTCTGAGGACCACCCCTCCCCACTGGCAGGGTCCAGACAGCCATGTGTCCCATGACCATCTCCAATTAGCCGTGACAGCTGATTCCACCAGGCTGGCTCCTTCTGGTGGACACCAGCATTGGTTTGTTGTCGGAAACGAAATGGGTCTTGGGCAAAATGCTGGGGAGGACAAGAAGTGACCCCTCCCACCCACTCATGGAGACAGGAACTCAGGGTGGTCTGGGGGAGGATTTTCATGCCAGCCTGATTTCTCACCCTTCCTTTCTAAGAACCTGGCTTTGGAATCGTGTCTGGGTTTGGTTCCGGTTCAGCCATTTGTCAGCTGTGTGTTGTTGGGCAAGTTGATGAGTTTCTCTGAACTTTGGTTCCACTTGTTTTGAAAATGAGAACAAGAACAGAACCCACCCCTGAGAGTTACTGTCACTTGAAGGATCCTGGTTCATCCTGAGGACCAAGGAAATGCCACAATGAAGATGATGTGGGTGACTCAGGCCGAAGCCTGGCCTCCCCTGCCCCTAGAAGGTTCCACATGGAACTCACAGACTGGAGACCTGGCCCCAGTCCCTCCCATCTGGTCCTCAAAGCCTTTCCAAACCATTTCAGTTTGCAGATTTCTCTTCCTCAGTTCATAAGCTACCAAGGTGTGCATTGTTAATGGTGAAAAAAGAGGTAGTGTAGGTTAGGGATTGGAACTAGGATTGAGGTAGGGTTTGGGGTTCAAATCCCTTTCTCCAGCTGTGGGGTCTGGGGCCAATCACTTCTCCCTGATCCTTAGTTTTCTCTTTGACAAAAACAAGATCTTCATCCCTACCCCATCCTTTTACCCGCCCCAAGCTCTTATGGAGATTAAACAGAAGAATGTTTAGCAAGCACATAATAGGTGCTCAATATAGGGTGTCACTACAGTGTCATTACAGCTATTATAGCTAACACACCTAGGATTAAAATGCAAGTTATATGTAAATTGGATCCCATCCCTCCTCTGCTCTAAACCCACATGGTCCCCATCTCACTGAGAACAAAAGCCAGTTCACTGTGGGAACTGGCAAGGCAGAGGGCCACATCAGGGGTCAATGCCATCCTCTCTGAATGAGCAGAAAGCCTCTTGGGATGAGGCTGTTGGTGTGGCTTTTGTCCTGCTGCAGAGCGAGCTCTGTGCCTCATGGGTGCTGAGTGGAGGTCTGTCAGTGTGTGGGAGTGGGGGACAGAAGGTACCTTTGGGCCTGGGTGACGGAGAAGCAAATGCCTCCCACCAGTATCACCAACCCCACACTTCCAACCAGGAGGAGGGCGATGGCAGATCCTCCTGACACAATGAGACTGGGGTCCGGCTCCATGAACTCATCTGTGGAATCCACGTTGGTTTCTGGAGACGAAGAATGGGTGAGACTGGAGGAACCACCCTCACTCCACACACCCCACTCCCACCATCCCACCTCCCGAATGCCTCTTCAATCCACCCTCTGGGTCTCTGCCCTGGCCTCCTCCCTGCTCTCCAGCCCTAGTCTCTCCCACCCATCTCCCCATCACATGGAAGTCAGAGGGGCCTCGCTAAAGCTCAGACTTGATCCTGTAATCCCTCTGCTCAGAATCTTCCCGTGCCTCCCCAGGACCAGTGGAGGAAGTATCCCTCACCTTGGCCTTCAAGGCCCTGCCACCTGACCAGCCTCATCTCTCTTCAATGGAACCAGGAAAGTTAGCCACCAACTAGCTAGGGTGCGGGGGCCTGGGGTGTGGGTGGGGGACTCACCTGGCAGTGAAATGGCCACAGAGTTGGAGGACTCCTGATTCTCGCTGCTCTTGGCCACACACATATAAGTGCCCAAGTCCTCCCTGGACAACCGCCGAATGATCAGCTTCTCCCCGGTCCCACGGGGTTTCCCGTTGAAGATCCAGTACAGCACAGGTGTGGGGGAGATCGGGGCCAGACACTGCAGGACCACCGAGTAGTTGAGTTCACTCTGGATGACGCCCTGGGTAGCCGTCGGGTATGCCGTGACCCACACTGCCCTGATGTTGGCTGTGTGAACAGGGAGAAAGACCACATGAGTGGAGAGCACTTGGGGAGACTGAGCACTTTTTCTGCCCATCCCAGACACATTCATTTATTCATTCATTCATTCATTCATTCATTCATTCATTCATTCATTCATTCACCAACAACAAATGGCTTGGAGCTGTGACTGGCACTGCTCCAGACACTGGGCGTGGCAGAGCTGTTGCTGCCCCCACTCCAGCTCCTCACCCTCACCACTTCCAACTGCCCACACTGCTTCTATTGCCTGAGGGCTTTTGCTGGCTGCCAGAGCCCATTCTGCCCATTCTGCCCATGGAGGCAGCAGGCGGCATGCCGGGGAATGGGTACGCAGGGACTAGCCCTCCGCACGGCTGACATGGGAGGTATATAAATATCCTGGCTCCACTGCCTTAGCTGGACCAAGGTGAGGTCAAGGAGCTGGGAGGAGTGGTTGGATTCTGGATTATTTTCAAGGCAGAGCCCGCAGGGTTTACTGATGGATTAGATGTGGGTGGGGAGAAAGAGAGGAGTCAAGGGCTTGAGCCACTGGCTGCTGGGGGATGCTCTCTACAGAGATGGGATGTACACAGTTGTCACTATGGTCCTATTTTTATGGGGTTTTTTGTTTTTGCTTTTTCAGCTGAAAGATTCTGAAGTTTGGGTTTCTTAGGGCCAGGACTCATGGTCCAGACAACCACAGGTGGGATTTGAACCTGGGGAGAGTGATGCCATAGTGAATGCTGGGAACCTCCACAAGCAGCTGATTTCTGATTTCAGTGTAATATAAGTGAAAAAAACTTTAGCCTGACCAGAGAGCTCACAGAAGGCTTCCTGGGGCAGGTGGTGCCTGAGCTAAGTCTTGCAGGAGGAGAAAGAGCCCACCAGGTGTAGAAACAAGAATCAATGTTGTGTTAGATTCCCTTTCTGATTGTTCATTATTGGTGTATAAAAATGCAATTGATTTCTGGAAATTTATTTTGTATCCTGCTACTTTACTAAATTCACTTACCAGTTCTGAGTAGTTTTTTTGGTGAAATCTTTAGGGTTCTCTATATACAGTATCATGTCATCTGCAAATAACAATTTTTACTTCCTCCTTTTCGTTTCCGATGCCTTTATTTCTTCTTGTCTGATTGCTGTGGCTAGCACTTCCAGCACTATGTTGCATAAGAGTGGTGAAAGCAGACATCCCTGTCTTGCTCCCAAACTTAAGGGAAATGCTTTTAGTTTTTGCCCACTGAGTATCATGTTGGCTGTGAGAGGTACCTTCCCTCTGTTCTCACATTGCTGAGAGTTTTTATCACAAATGGGTACTGAATTTTATCAAATGCTTTTCCGGCATCTATTGATATGACTGTGTGATTTTAATCTTTTTTGTTTGTGTGGTGTAAAATCTTTTGTTTTGTTTAATCTTTTGTATTGGTTTGTGGATATTGTGTGCCTCATAGGTGCTGAGTGGAGGTCTGCATCCAACTTTGCATCCCCAGAATAAGCCCTACTTGATCATGGTGTTTGATCTTTTTAATGTATTGCTGGATCTGGTTTGCTAGCATTTTGTTGAGGACTTTATCATTAATGTTCATCAGGGATATTAACCTTTCTTTGTAGTATCTTTACTTGGTTTTGGAATTAGGATAACGCTGGCCTCATAAAATGAGCTTGGGAGTCTTCTCTCCTCTTGAATTTTTTGGAATAGTTTGAGCAGAATAGGTGTTAGTTCTTCACTGAATGTTTGATAAAATTCACCACCAGGTCCACGACTTTTGTTTGTTGGAAGTTTTTTGATTACTGCTTCAATTTCATTAGTTGTAATCTGTCTATTCAGATTTTCTGATTCCGTTTTGGAGGACTGTATGTTTCTAGGAATTTTGTCCAGATTGTCCAATTTTTTGGCATTTAGTTGTTTGTAATATTTTCTTACAATTCTTTGTACTTCTTTGGTGTCAGTTGTTACTTCTTTTCCCTTTTTGATTTTATTTATTTGTGTCCTCTCTCTTTTTTTCTTGATGAGTCTGGTTAATGGTTTGTCAATCTTGTTTATCTTTTCAAAGAACCAGCTCTTGGTTTCACTGATCTTTTGTATTGTTTCTTAAGACTCTTTCGTTTATTTCTCCTCTGATCTTTATTATTTCCTTTCTTCTACTCACTTTGGACTTTGTTGCTTTTCCAGTTCCTTTAAGCGTAAATTTAGATTGTTTATTTCAGATTTTTCTTGCTTCTTGAGGTAGCCTGTAATGCTATGAATTTCCCTTTTAGGACTTCTTTTGCTGTGTCCCACAGACTTTGGGTTGTTGTGTATTCATTTTCATTTGTTTCAAGGTATCTTTTTAATTCAAGGTACCTTGATCTCATGTTAGCCCATTCATTGTTCAGTAACATGTTGTTCAGTCTCCATATTTTTGTGTTTTTCAGTCTTTTGTTGTGACTGATTTCTAGTTTCATACCACTATGGTCCAAGAAGATGCTTGATATGAAGCCAGATATATGAAGACAGCCACCCTGGACCAATTGATGCCCAGGCACCCCTTGGCTGACCACATACACATGAGTGAGACCAGAACTGTCTGGAGGTATTCTGAGTTAAAGAAATGGTTGCTATTTTAAGTTGTTTTTTTTTTTTTTGGGGGGGGGGGGTGTTAGGGAAAAACTGACTGATTTCACAGAATGGGTTTTGAAGGCCTAGTTGACTATGAACCCCATCTCTCCCGCTGTGGGGCCTTACTCACCCTTGACATGTTTATGCTCTGTCACACTCCTGTGTCTCCTGCTGTTTTCCAGCACCACAGTGTAGCTACCCGAGTCTTGAGCTGTCACATTTCTGGCGACCAGGCTGCCTTGGGCACCCAGCATCTCCCGGCCAGTGTGATCAGGCCCTGGGAGGCCCTTAGGAGAGACCATGGCTTCTGGCTGGGCCTCATGCTCTCGGAACCAAGAAGTGGAGAGAATGCCATCAAGTTTGCTGGGGACAGCAAGGTGAGGACTGGCTCCTTCGTGCAAGAAGTCCAGAGGCACAGAGGAGGGCAGCTCGGAGGAGGCAGAGCAGATGCAGGATGCAAGTAGGGTGCCTGGAGGAGATGGGGAGGAGAGGAAAGAGAAGGGGGAGCACGTGGGACCCAAGGTGAGATGCTGCCCCAAGCAGCCCTTCCTGAGCCAGCGAGGAGTCTGGCACATCAAGAGTTGATGATGACAACAGTGATCATGATAAAAATATTATAGAAATGAAAGGGAATATTCACTGAGTACCTCCTATAAGCTAGACACTGGTCTAATCATGGTATTATCTCACTTATTTCTTATACATGGACCCCACAAAGCACACATCACACTGAATGGTCAGCTCCACTCTTTAACCTTCTCTGCTCTCTGTGCTCCTGAAAGGTTGACTTCTCTGAGCTCCACTGCTGTGGTCCCCTTGCCTTTTGCCTTTGCCAATGAGAGTGACCTTGAGGTTACTGGTCCCACAGCTCCCTCCTTGCTCCACCAGCACAGGTTGGCTGTGTCTCTCTACTGAAGCTCCTATTGGGTGGCCATCTCCATATACCACGTTTTTGGTTTTGGGGGTCCACTCTCCCTCTTGCAGCATCTAGCTCAGGGCAGGTAACAGCTTCCCACTGTTGCTAGCCCCTGGGTGCTGCACAATCCCATGTCGCTTTACCTATGCCCTGCCTACAGCTCTGCAAATTGTCCCCTTATCAAACTCTCCTCATTACTCCTTTTGAGTTGACCCTCTCCTTCTTGCCCCAACCCTTATTGATACAACAATTCTACCCTATTAGATATGAAGAAACAAAGATTCAGAGACTGAATTTTCAGGATGCCATATGTAGTAAGCAGCACCTGTGAAGCCAAAATTCTCAACTACTACACTACATTGTCGAGTGTGTTTCCTGCCCTCAGTTTCTCTCACTTCCATCATTAAATTTCTGTATTGTTTAGAGCTTGAAGCCAAACCCTTGGAGTCTGGTTCCAGACCCTACACACTTACCCACCCCACTCTTCTGCTTATCACTGGAATGGTGACTTTTGTTGTAAGAACACAAACTCCCATCCATAAAAGACTGAAAAGTTTGACATAAAAAAAATTCTGCAAAGGTTAAAAAAACCCCACCACCCACAAAGTCTAAATAACAATGGCCTACCAGAAAAAAAATTATTGGCAACTGATATCACAGACAAAGAGCTCATTTCACTAATATATAAAGAGCTCCTAGATATCAATAAGAAAAGTATCAACAACTTAACAGAAAAATATACAAAAGTTATGGGTAGATGGTCCCTAGAAAAGAAAATTTAAATATCCCTCGACATAGGGACAATGTTCAGCTGTATGCACAGCAAGAGAAATGGAAATTAAAACAAACTGAGATAATACTTTGCACCTAACAGATTGGCAAAGGTCCAGAGTTTGATGTTGTGTTGGTGAGGCTGAAGTAACAGGAACTCATACATGGCTCATACAACCCCATGCAGAGGGCAGTCTGGCAAAGTCTTTCAAAATTAAAAATTCCTACATCTAATGCTTGTAAAGCGTATTAATAAGGTGATTGCCAGATAAACACTTGACATTATAACTATTTACTTCTGGGCTCTGAGCCTCAGTTTCCCCACTTATCAAGGAAGGTGGTTGATAGTAACCATTTCACAGGAGTGCCTGAGATTCAATGAGATTCAGTTTCAGGTCTGAGGATAGTCTAACTTTGGTATTTTATGCACAAATTAAGTTATATTAATAAACAAAGTATTAATACATTTATTATATATAACTATATTCTAATATTATTACATATAATTATACATCATATTATATGCAATTAATATAACAGGTAATTATGTATATGATTATATATAGTTACATATAATAAGATTATGATTATAAAATTTAGAATTTAATAATATATAAATAAAAGTATAAATATAAATGATATGAATAAATATGAATGGTATTTTACATATATTTCAAATGTATTTCTTTTCAGGATTTACTGTTGTGAGTACATGAAACACAGTTTATTCTTGTCTTATTTATTAATTGTTGTCTTTTCTTTTTTTAAAAAGTATATCTTTATTGACTTCAGAGAGAGAAAGGAGAGGGAGGGAAAGAGATAGAAACATCAATGATGAGAGAGTCATCATTGATCGGCTGCCTCCTGCACGCCCCCCACTGGGGATCAATTCCGCAACCCAGGCATGTGCCCTGACCGGGAATCGAACCTCGATCTCCTGGACCCTAGGTTGACCCTCAACCGCTGAGTCACTCCCGGCCAGGTGTTGTCTTATTTTCCATATGAACAACTGTAAACCTACTTTTGCCACACCCCGCATATATTTCTATAAATAAATTTTATTTCTTCTCTAACCTTTACTCAAATGAGAAAAAGTCTCCATTCAATTTTTCCCAGTTTGAGTCAGGGACGCTCCTTGACTCACCAGATATAGCCCAGGGAACATAGTCAATAATATTGTAATAACAGTGTACAGGGCCAGGTGGGTGCTGGCAATATCGGGGGGACGCTTTGTAAAGTACACGACTGTCAAACCACCACGCTATACACCTGACACTAACACAGAATAATACTGTCAAAAACAAAGAGCTCATGGAGGGGAGAAGGGGGCGCAGGGCGAGGCTTCGGTGGGGAGAGTTGAGAATGAACTTGAGCCCTTCCCTGGGGTGAGGGCCTAGCCTTTTCTCCTTCCCAGGCCACGTGAGGGTGGCTCCAAGGGGCCTCTAAGGGAAACAGGGAGGCGTCCCCTGGAGCTCGTGGGAACTTAGACCTGCAAGCCTCCCGGCGAGGGATGGCATGGAAGAGGCCTGCGGGGCAGAGGGGTGGACACGACCCACGCCTCCAACATTTGAGGGAACTGGCTCATGTTTCCCATGAGCCAGTGAGGGTGCCTCCGAAGGGGGCCAGCTGGAGGCTGTCCTGGAGAAGACCCGCATGGGACAGGGCTTGCTGACCTGTCACCTTGGCAGAAAGAGGCTGGAGGGGGCCAGGAGGTGGCAGCGAGCCTCCAGTGGGCCACTTCATGGAAGCCTTAGGAACACACGCTCCAGTGCCCAGCGTCCCCAAGATACCCCACCCGGAAAGATCCAGCAACAATGCCTCAGCCACACAGAATGCCTGTCCCCGCCTTACAACCGTAGCAGCCAAGCAGAAACTTTCCTGCCCATTTTCTTGCCTTCCTCCCCTTTGCCTATGGCCCTGGGAGGGGGCTGGGGGCCCAGACGACAGCTCTGGACTGGGAGAACAGGCATGAGCCGAGGCCCACCATGTCCCATCCTGTCCATACTACAGTCTGACACAGGCCTGACTGCCGACCAACAGGAGCTTTAAACTGGGTGAAGTTTGGGGTTTTGAAATTACGCTGAACTGGACTTTTTAAGACCTGGAAAAGCAGGCAGATGATTTATTATCAGAGAGGTGGATGTGTGTGGTCTCTGGAACGAGTGATCTCCATAGCCGGGCCATTTGGGTTCAAATCCTCCTCCTGCCACATCTGAGCTGTAAGGCCCAGGGAGGGCACATAATCTCTCTGTGCCTCAGTTTCCCCCTCTTTGAAATGGGGGTCATATAGCCCTTGCCTCATGGGCTTAAGAATGAACTGTTATTACGTGAAAGCACGTAGAACAGGCTGGCGTGTAGAAATAGTCACAATGGCCTCTTTGTATTAGGATTGCTGTTATTTTATTATTGATACTATTACTATTTAAAAATTACGATTAGAGGTGGATAGCTGGGTAAGACAGGGTGTGCCTGTGGAAAGGGGCCGGGTGGGGTCCTGAACTCCGATTCTGCCCTTGCCAGCCCTGTGATCTTGGGCAGGTGGCCCCGGCCCTATCTGAGCCTCAGTTGGGGGGGCCTGTGCCGCATGGCCTTAAACTAACCGGAGTTGCAGCTTTGAGCGGGGCGACTCTAACTCGGATAGAGACTCTGGGAGGGGTCCCCAACCCGTGAGTGGAACCACGGTCTCTCACGCACCTGTTAGAAGCAGTCTGGTCCAGGCAGGGCTGTGGACAGAGCCAGCAGTCAGGGGACGCTTCATGTTGCGTCCTGTCCAGGGGCCAGGGAGGGGAGGTCGCCTTGTCGGGAGTGGGGCGTCCTGGACAGCACAGGCGAGTGCTCAGCACGGGCCCCGCCCACAGGGGCCCCACCCCGCCCCGGTGCCCAGGGCCAGCTGTTGGCTGGGAAGCCACCTCCAGGCCCGCAATCTCCTCGAGCTGGGCGTCACTGGTAGTGCTGGGCGGGGGGCAGGCTGGGGCAGGGCTCCTGGGGAAGGGGCTCTGGGGTTTTGCTTCCCCTCTGTCTGCATATTCCCCACTTCCAGCAGGGAGAATGATAGAGGTAGAGGGTGGGGCAGAACTGACATTCCACTTGGAGAGGGGGATTGCCAAAGGTCACCCGGTAGGCTGGCACCAGGCCTCGCCCTCCTGCTGGCTTCCTGGCTTCACTCCAGACACTGACTGTCAGCTCTGAGCCTCAGCTCTGTTGAATGAGGGTGTTGATACCAGTGCCCACCTCAGAGTCAGAGGGGCCCCCCCGGACATCAGGTACTCAGCAGGGTGCCTGGCAGGTAGTAGGTGCTCAATGAATGGTGGTAGCTATTAAAATAATGTTCATTATTCTTCCTGGTTTCCAGGATGTCCTGGAGGCATGTTCAGAAGCCCAATTTCAGGGCCTTGCTCACACTACACCTTGCAGTTTGGATTCTGGAAGGGTAAGCCACGAAAGCTCCTTTCTCTCATCCTTTGACCCTCCGAGTCCCGCTTTCCTCCTCAAGTTAAGAATTGTGTTGCTTAAACGTATAGCTGGTGTTTGTTGAGCACCTACTGTATGCCAGGCCCAGTGCTAGCCCTTTTAGGGTCATTGCTAAGTTGCAGGAATCTAAGCGTGGAGCTGCTGAGGGCCTTCTTTCTGCCATGAGTAGAGAGGCTGCTTAAGAATGAGATCAACACATAGGAAAGGCCACCAGTACATGGACAGATTTCTGATGACATAATTTAAACACCTAGATCCAGCTGTGCCTGAAGCTGGACATAATTCTTCATATTTGGGATTCGGTTTGGTCTGGGATGCAGTTACTTGCCTCCAAAATAACTTTGATTGAAAGGACAGGTGAAAAACCAAGTTTTGAGAGCATATAGCTTGGGATCTAGCCAAGACGGGTAAGGGAAGCCCCCTGGAGAGGAGATAGTTACACTGACCCTGGGGGAGGGGAAGGGTTTAGCGGGTAGGAGTTTCCAAACCTCAGTTATTCTCACACCAGGTCATAAATCCTTCCTATGCACACCCACCTACACTTTTACTTATTTACTTAATATTTTCCTTTAAAACAACTCATCTAAAATAAGCTCGACTCAGCTTTTAAACAATAACCTTCACAAAATGATATATTAATATGCCAATTACACACCAAGCAAAATAGAGACAGTCTCAGAGAGAGCAGGTGGGAAGACAGCTCTGGTGGGGGGGTGTTGGGGGCATGGGAGGGACTGAACAAAAAAGAAAAGGGAAAGAAAGAGAGCTCACGGACGTGGGCGACAGTGTGGTGAGTGGGGGATGGGGGGTGGGGGTGAAAGAGGGCAGAGAGGAGATAAATGGTGACGGAAAAGATAAAATAAACATGCTCAATTACATTAATGCGGATGAAAACAAAAACCTAAAGATAAAAATACAATTTATCTGTCTACATAACGGTGCAAAATTTTTTGCTGTGTCGTCAAAAGAATATAAGCCCCAATCTGTTGCACAACAATGTGAAGATGCTTAACACTACTGAACTGTACCTTAAAAATGGTTAGGATGGGAAATGTTTCTTATAACCGCAATTAAAATTTTTAAAAATTGTTTACCAAACGAGAAGACGACCAGAAGCAATCATGTACACAGCTTGCCTTTACAGCCCAACTAATGTGATACAGGGGGATACACCCTCAATCTAGTTCTTTTTTTAAAAAAAATTTCTTTTCTTTTTAAAAAAATATGTTTTTATTGATTTTAGAGAGAGATGAAGGGAGAGAGAGAAACATCGATTGATTGGTTGCCTCCGGTATCTGCCTGGCAGGGAACTGAACCTGTAACCTAGGCATGTGCCCTGCCCGGGAATTGAACCGGAGACCTTTTCGTGCACAGGATGACACTCAACAAACTGAGCCACACCAGCCACCGTGGAGGTATGTGTTTTTGCTGAGGACAATGGTGGGATGGGCCTTCCATCTCTGGGGGTTGCAGGAGATCACGGCCCCACCCCATTTACAGCTCCTGGGGATCACAGGTAAGTATTCATGTGGCTGTCACATGATAAGAATGGATTATTACTGTCTGCTCCCATCTGGGCAGGGCAGGGACCTTGCCCTGGATAGAGATCTCTCGATAAGAAAGGTCAAGGCTGGGCCATAACAAGAGATTGATAGCTCCGTGGCCTTGCACCTGCTCCCTAGGCCACGGCCTGCCCCAGGTGAGCTACATCCACTGGCGCACTGTTGAGAGTTTCCTTTCGGTGGAACCAGTTTTCATGACTGTCAGAAAGCTCCTCAGGTTAGAGAGCCTCAGGGGCTCAAGGTTCAGGCTGCCAACCTTCTCTGCAGAATAAATAAGATTTTGGAAGAGATCCCCCTGATCTCCATGCCTCTTTCTTTCTTGGTAATCCAAACCTTGATTTTTAAATGGATACACTGGAGCCCAGCAAAAATTACATTCTCTATGTTCCCCTGAGCTAGCGTGGCCATGTGACAACATTTTGGCCAATAGATAACAACTAGAAGTGTTGTATGGGGCTTCCAGGAATTGACCTTAAAGAGAGTTTTTCTAATCCTATCTTTTCACTACTGACTAGAATATGGATATGATGGCTGGAGCTTCAGCATCCTTCTTGGGTCACAAGTTATGCACTGAAGACGACAGAGCAATAATATGAAAGGAGGTTGGGTCCCCATGATTATAAAGCTGCCACATTAGCCCTGGACACCCTAACTCCAGACTCTACTTATGTAAAAGCAAATTAAACTTCCATCCCTCAGTGTTGTTGGGACTCAGTGAGTCTAGGCACATAAAGTCCCTGGCACAGAGGAGAAATTCAATAAAAGTCAGTTCCCTACATGCTGGGGGACATGCAGATGTATCAGGCCTGGCATTTGTGCCTGGAACGTTCATGGTGCAGTAAAGAAAAGATCAATATCCTCAAGCCCATACAGGAAGGGCAAACGGTGTTCTTGGAATCCCAAGAGGTGGTTGGCTCCTGGATGGTGAAGAAAGGTGGGTCTTTGACAGTTCATTCATCTATTGAATGATTCATTAGTTCACTCATTCACCATTCAACCACTAAGTGTTAGCTAACTCTTTTTCGTGTGTACGTGGTATTAATAATATCACCTGTATCAGTATTACTTAAAGTGTGATCTATGATTACTTTCACTTTATTTTTAATAATTTTAGTTAACTTGAGCTCATTGAAATTTCTTTTGCAGCTACACACAATGCCTAGTATTTTCTATAAAGTTTTCAAGGCCACTTCCAAATTTGGATAAGATTGCACTAAACCAAATTATGAATCATTTTAGAAGACTCAACTATGAAACTGATCTTATGTTACAAATTACTGATATTGAATATTACTTAAAACCATTTAAGCCCAGCCAGGCATGGCTCAGCGGTTGAGCGTGGACCTAGGATCCAGGCGATCAGGGTTCGATTCCCGGTCAGGGCACATGCCCGGGTTGTGGGCTCGATCCCCAGTCAGGGGCGTGCAGGAGGCAACCGATCAATGACTCTCTCATCATTGATGTTTCTATCTCTCTCTCTCTCCCTCTCCCTTCCTCTCTCTGGAATCAATACAGATTAAAAAAAAGAAAAAAAAAAAGAATTCAGCATGATGTAAATTGTGCAGTTGTGATTGTCATCATCATCCCAGTTCCTAGAACTCTTATGCTTTTGGGTTTAGAACCATTCTTTGAGTCCTATCTGCCTTTTGATTTTGCTTCTGATTAAGAGCATCCAATGATGCTCTTTGTTCTTGGTTCTTGTGTACTAACTTTCTCATGCTCTGCTTGTGTCCCCACAAATACAAGTAATGCAAATAATTATATGTGTTTATTGAACACTCTGTCAGGCTCTGAGCTACATGCGCTTTTTTTTTAATCCTAATCTGAGGCCCTAGCTGGTTTGGCTCAGTGATTAGAGTGTTGGGTCCCTGGTTAGATTCCAGCCAAGGCCAGGGCCCTCGGTTTCAGGCTCGATTTGCGGGAGGCAACCAATCGATGTGACATAGATGTCTCTCACTCTCTCTCTCTCTCTGTCCAAGCAATGTTAAAATATCCTCAGGTGAGGATTAAAAAAAAAATCCTAATCTGAGGATATGTTTTCTTTTTTTTTTTTTTTTTTAGAGCGAGAGAATGGAAGAAGGGAGAGAAAGGAACATGATGTAGGAGAGAAACATCGAATGGTTGCCTCCTGCATTCGCGCCAACCGGGGATCAAACCCACAACCCAGCTATGTGCCCTGAGCGGGAGTCGAACCCCCAATGTTTAGGTGCACGCCCGGGACGATGCTCCCAACAACTGCTCACCTGCCCCGGGCTGGGCTACGCGCGCTTCATACGCGACCGCATTTGCGCCTGAACACAACTCCGGGGGTCAGGGGCTGCTGCTGCCGCCATTTCAAAGGTGAGTGAATAGATTCTGGACAGTTAGGAAGCCGCACGGCTGGAGCGGGACTTAGTTCTAGCGGTGAGGATTCTGCCCTTCCCAGCTTACCCTGTGACATCAGGGCTCTAGCCTCCGGGTGGAAGGGCACGGGTCAGGCCTCGCGTCCCGCTTCTCCACTCCGGGCCGCCCACAAACTTGGAGACGCACAGCCGCGGCCCCAAACCCGGACCCAGAGCCGGGCGCTCCATTGCAGTCTGGCGGCGCCCGCCCTTCCCTGAGGCGCTGGAACGCGCCGCCGAGGCTTCTGGGAATTGTAGTTCGGAATCGCCAACCCAAACGCACTTCCGGGTTGGGCCAGAAGCGCAGCCATTGTCCCCCGCGCGGACGCTCGCTTTCGCCGCGCATCTCGGCCCTTCGGAGGTTAACCCCAGAGGCCTTGCGAATACCGACTTGGGGAGGGGACCGAACTAGCGTAACCCGAGTCTGCCGTGTGCAGAATCGGGGTAGGGGGGGTTGCTTTATCGAGCTTGTCCGGCCGCAGAGCCGTGCCGGATACTGAGGCTCGCACAGGCCCGGCCTGGGCGGCGAACCCGTAGACGCCCAGGTTGGTGAGGAGCGGGCGGCGCTCGGTGTCCCGTGCGCGCACGCGCATTGTCTAGGCGGGAAGCTGGGATTGGGGGCGTGGGTGGGCGATCTGGGACCTGCGCGGGCGGCGCTTCAGCCTGCCGTCCCCAAAGCTGGAGGTGCTGGTGCGGCTGGCGATTCTGGTTCTCTGCTCTGCGCGCGTGTGTGGGCGCTCTTGTCCAGGTTCTGAGGATGCCCAGGTTGATGGGAGACAAGCCCTGAGCACTGGTGTTGAGGGTGGGGGCATTCTGAGAACCCCTCCGCCCCTTCATCCAAGGCTGGGCCTGTTTTAGTGGAGGACCCGAGGACCACTGGGTTGACGAAGTAACTCATTTGCAGATTCTGGTTCCTGGAGGAGAGGGTCTGTGTCATTGCCCCTATACCCTTGAGCAGGTGTTTGAGTAGGAAGCACGAAGTGGGAGGTGAGATTCTGGGCAGCTGGCTCTGGGACCCTGGAGCAGACACTGCTCTTCTCCCAGGCCTGGGGGCGCCCTGGGTAATGAAGAGACCAGGTGGGAGTTGCAAATTCTTGCCCCTGGGGAGCCATTGTTGCTTCAGCGAACCCTCAGTGGGAATAGCTGATGGACTGCAGACTCTCAGGTGGAAGGAGGGACCAGGGTCTAGAGGCAGGTTCTAGGCAGAGCACTCCCTG